ATTTAAAAATGAAGAGCTGAATTCTAAATATACTTACATTTATAATTTCCTTCGAATGGTCTTCAAAGGATTTCCCTCCAGTGCTAGAATTTCAAATGAAGTTTCCCAAAGAATGGGCAGACTACAAAAGATTAAGTTGATTATACTTATACTTAAATATAAGTATAATCCAACCAAATAGTTATAAAACTCAAACATATGACAAACAATAAATCATATAATAGTCTCAAAGAAGGCCAAGTAATGCAGACCTAAAATATTTTCCTTTCACAATAAATGCTAAAATGTAAAAGAAAAAATCAGGTTTTCAAATTGTCATATTGAGATGCTAAAAAGAATGAGCAATAAAAATTTGCTAAATTGTGTCCCATGCCATAAAGTAATGTTAAAATATAAATTTGAATGAAAGTGATTCAACATAGCCATCAGTGATACTAAATGTTTTGACTTTAGTATCCTCAGTGATACTAAATGTTTTGATTTTGCACTTCAAGCAAGCAAACAAAATTCCTTCTAAGAAAAGATGACAAAAAAAATCTTTTATCACCCAATTGTGTTTTTCTTCAATAAGGAAAGTCATTTTTATCTTTGGCACACAAAAAGATAACCCAGTTATATGCATAAATATTTAATCTCAATAAAATTTATTAAGGATCTATAAAATACTAGGCCATTGGTGTAAGGTTATCAAGATTCTTGTCTCTGCCGGGCACAGTGGCTCACACCTGTGATCCTAGCACTCTGGGAGGCCGAGGCGGGCACATCGCTCAGGGTCAGGAGTTCAAAACCAGCCTGAGCAAGAGCAAGAGCAAGACCCCTGTCTCTACTAAAAATAGAAAGAAATTAATTGGCCAACTAAAAATATATAGAAAAAATTAGCTGGGCATGGTGGCGCATGCCTATAGTCCCAGCTACTTGGGAGGCTGAGGCAGAAGGATTGCTTGACAAGCCCAGGAGTTTGAGGTTGCTGTGAGCTAGGCTGACACCACGGCACTTCTAGCCCAGGCAACAGAGTGAAACTGTCTCAAAAAAAAAAGGATTTTTGTCTCCTAGTTCACAATTGAACAAAGAAAAAAACACATATACAGCTAATGAAAACATAATAAATATTAATAAGAATTATCTTATGTTGGTAGTGAGAATATAAAATAGTATAATCACTTTGGAAAATGGAGATTTTGGGGTTGTTTTTTTTTTGAGACAGTCTCACTCTGTTACCCCGGCTAGAGTGCCGTGGAGTCAGCAGTTGCTGGCTCACAGCAACCTCAAACTCCTAGGCTCAAGAAATCCTCCTGCCTCAGCCTCCCGAGTAGCTAATTTTTTCTATACATTTTTAGTTGGCCAATTAATTTTTTTCTATTTTTAGTAGAGGCAGGGTCTCGCTCTTGCTCAGGCTGGTCTCAAACTCCTGACCTTGAGCAATCCTCCCACCTCGGGCCTCCCATAGTGCTAGGATTACAGGCGTGAGCCACCACACCTGGCCGAAAGAGGAGTTTTTAAAGTTAAACATATACTCACCATACAACTAAGCAAACCCACTCCTGCATATTTAACCAAGAGAAATGAAAATAATGTCCACACAGATACCTGCACACAAACATTCACTACAGTAAAAAATTGAAAACAACCCAAACATCCATCAATGAACTAGGGAAGAGACGAATGAACTGTGGTATATCTGTACAACGGACACACAGCTATAAAAATGAATGAACTGATACACACAACCACATGAATAAATTGCAAAAAACTTTATGATACATGAAAGAAACCAGACACAAAAACTATATACTGTTTGATTCCATTTCCATGATATTCTTAAAAAGGCAAAACTACAATAACAGAGTACATCAGTATGCTAGGGTTAGGCAGCATGGAAAGGAAATTGACAGTAAAAGGTATGAGGAAACTTTTAGGGAAACAAAAC